CTCTTAAACACTTAGTTACAAAAATGTGAGAATTATTCTAACCAAAATATAGTTCAAAATATATGATCGGAAAGAGCACTACTTTACAAAATGTATAAAACTTACTGTCAAAAATGTCCAAAAAGGTCCAGAATAATAGTCAGGTACAAATAACATCTAACTTCAAAGAAAGTTCCAAATAATATAAATCTCACAATGAAAATCGTAAGTGAAATAGCAAGACAGAGCCAATAGAAAATAATGTACAAATTACCCAATGAATACCATCGAAAAGTCCAATGCGGCAGAACTTAAATGTACTCACTGTACTAACCAATAGTACATGAAAACGTCATACCCGCACTGCAGTACTAACTGTATGGGGTTCAATACAGGATAATCATATGCTTCAATGGTCAATTATTCATTACACCATAGCGGGGACTAAATTTGGAAAACGGAAAGCTATAGCTCAATGAGTTCAGAAAATGTCTTCAAAATATTTTAACAACTTTAGATCAAATTAAATATTTTTATAGTTTATTGAAATAATTCGCTGAAATGGAAAATTGGTTAAGTTATAAAAATATAAAGTAAAATATAAAAAGAATACTATAAATCGCTGCCACACATAGTTGCTTACATGGTAGATAGTTGTCTCATTAGTAATCCTATTTTTTTATAATGAACATATGAAAATGACACTTCTTTTTCTGGATGTTTATAGAACTTGCAAATTGTAGGATAAACTGTCTTATTTTTTACTAGTACCTTTCCCGCCACCTTACCCCGCCTAAAATTTTACAAAATTTGGAACACTTATCCAAAATCTTTTCCGTTTAATTATCTCCTCCCTAGACCAAGCAGTTTTGCGATCAATGATGGTAATAGTCAGTCCATTGAGATCTGCCGTAATGTGGCCAAGGGATCTACAATGTCGACTGAGAGGAAAGTCTGGCTTAAAATCATTGTCACTACGATGGTAGTTCATACGTTTGTAGATATTTTGACTTTTATAATGTTAAATCCTAACGATCCTACTGCCTGTCGATACTTTTATTTTGCATTGCACAAGTCATGTTCTCTTTGACTGTCGATGGCGTTAAAACACTTAATCCCTGGGATGTGTTTTAATTGATTTTAGTCTCTGATGCATGATTTTTTATCGTTAATTGTTTTTGGCTTTTGACTAGCTTTCAGTAACTGCGAGTACTCTCAAATCGTACTTTCGTGTTAATTTGAACTGTTGTACCACCTTTGATAAGTATTTAGTATGACGATAAATTTTCACTTCAGTACTTGTACTCTGAACAACACATTTAATAATTTTGTAAAAAATGTTTACTTCCGTACTCCTAACAACAAAATTACTATATTCAAATTTACCTGTTTACGTTGTTTAAATTTATTTAACGCCAATTTGTCCCAGGTTAGAGTTGTCTTTTTGACACTGTTTCTACTTCTTTTTTATCACTACCTGTAACGTCGATGTTATATATGCACCTACGTTTAAACTTTTAATACTGTATTCATATTTTGTCATAGATCAAACTTATTCGTTCAGTGTAGGCCTACTTGTTTTTGTTTAAATGTCTTTTTGATCGAGTTAAGCCATTTCAATTGATATTTTATAGTGGGTCTTTTTATGTTGTAATGTTACACTACTGTCTTAGGTTAGCGTGAAGGTTGGCGCCTGTTAAAACGTTTAAACCCTCTGCATTTTAATGCACCTGTTCTAAGTCAGGAGCCTGTTGTTCAGTGGTTGTCGTTTGTTAGTGTTGTTCATGGGTGTTTCTCGTTTTTCGATTTTTATATAGATTAGACCGTTGGTTTTCCTGTTTGAATTGTTTTACTAGTCATTTTGGGGCCCTTTATAGCCTGCTGTTCGGTGTGAGCCAAGGCTCCGTGTTGAAGGTCGTACTTTGACCTATAATTGTTAACTTTTTATACATTGTGACTTGGATGGAGAGTTGTCTCATTGGCACTCATACCACATCTTCTTATTTATATTAACTCATCAGATCGATACAAAGAAAAACATCAAACAAAAACACAGACAGGACGTAGCAGGGTATATATCTATTTCTCACCTCTAACAACAAAAAAGACACAAAGTACAGATCTGAGAGTACTAGCAGTTACTGACAGCTAGTTCAAAGCCAATAACAACTAATACAAAAAATCAGGAATCTAAAACTAAAATATCAATCAGTACACACCCAACATCCAATGGATTTAGTGTAAAGACGTCATTGACAGTCAGAGAAAAACATGACCTTGTGCAATGCCAAAATATAGATATCGACAGATTGTAGTACCGTGAAGTTACATCTGTGTAATATTTAGTATGATTTTAATTTACTGATAACAAAATCAATGTATGCATATTTTGCAACTATCGTCGTCATAGTTATAGTTTCATATTCACAATTTCAAAAATGTGACAACTTTTACATGTTTTTAAACTCCGTTTTACAAGAAAATCAACGGCTGTCTCACTTTTTACTTTAAGAATACACATATAGTGTTAACCGAACCAATGACCATACCTGGACATTTCGTTGGTGATTTTATTCCAAAACACATGTCTATAGATGGACTGGTCATAAGCGAACCGGTAAAACTTCGCCCAGTCAAGTGAAATAAATCAAGTAATACTTCAGTTGTTAATATTGTTATGTCTAGAATGTGTAGTAAATATGTTGATCTGTGACAAGGCCATTTGCACTCAGTGAAAGTTCTATCTAGTATAGGTGGCAACAATCTTACAAGATATAATTCATTTAAGGATGTTCGCTACTCTTGTTATTGACCTTTTGTCAGAAAATTCGGAAGCCTCTAGTTTTATCCATGTAGTGCCAATACAAATTTTGCCCGCTGACCCCTACTTTTTACAATTTTGTAAAATATATTTAAAAGGCCATGTTTGAAAATCTTATAAGATCCTTGTTATTTTTGCATAGTTATTGAAAAAAAAAGAGCTTATGTTAAACGTACGAAAAGTCTAGAGAGAATCATTTCCCGCCAAATTTTTAAATGTCTATATCACAAAAACTAGGACACGAATCTACCATTTTTTTTCTGCTTTTTACGTACCGTTATTTATAAACTATCAATTTATAATAGTCTTTTAAAAAGCTTGTTATTTTGAAACAGAGGAGGAAACATACTTAAGAACAGCTTTGAAACTGAAACATTTTATACAATTCCTATGCCATCACCGCAAAGGAGTGCTCTTACCAAATTTTGATGGAGTGGTACCATTAAGAATCGAAACGGTGAGATTTGAAATATTATTTTTAGAGGAGCGAGTATGTGATAATTTAAACAATATTTTAGAAGATGAAGCTCATGTTATTTTATCGTGTCCATTAATTTTTAGAAAAAAATATTTGATTGAGCAAAAGATTTTAATTGTGATTTTATGTCTTTTGATGATTGCCAGAAATTAAGGTTTTTATTCACAGATATTAATATGATTCGTAGCTGTGCCAAAGCCTGTTATCTTATTTTAAATAGACGTATAAATGCTTTATACTGTAAATAATTTACTTATAAATATGCTTTATGATAGACGAATGTTCTATAATGTTTTAATGTTATAGTCTCTTATAATTCTGTATAGAGTGTCTCTCAATTTTAAATCAATATTTTACACGTAATGCAGTGTTGTATTATATATTATTGAAAGATGAGACTTAAATAAAATATTGAATTGAATTGAATTGTATACATAAACAGTGTCCGGTCAGGATTGAGAATACATTACTAAGTTTCAAATCCACTGAAGATGTAAATTAAATATTGATATCAAATAAATTTTGAATTCTTTGAATAATTTATCGGTCTTTTAAAGTTTTTTGACAAATGCCGACAACTTACACATCGGATCCAAGCATTATTCCATTGACAAAGAGTTGCTGCTTACAAGGAAGCTTTTGAACCAAAAGTTCCAAGTGGTGATGTTGAATGCATCCCCGTATCATTATGGAATATCTGTTGCACAGATGACGACGGATATGTTCCAATTGTCGTAACCACAATCAGTCATCTTTTCCTCGAATGCGACATACCAAATTAGACTTAACAACGGGTTTGTACTTACACAACTAACACAACGGGTGCCACACGTGAAGCAGGGTCTGCCTTCCTTTCTGGATCACATGAGATCATCTGCGGTTTTTGGTGGGGTTTGTGCTGTTCAATCTAGTTTCCTATGTTGTGTTGTGTATACTGTTTTTTGTCCTTTGGTCGTTTTTCGTTTTTTTCCCATTGCATTATAAGATCGTTTTTATACTTATGAGTTTGATTATTCCTTTGGTATATTTCTCCTCCCTTGTAAGATTTCAAACAAGTGCCATTTTACTTTCCAATGAAAACATTGTTCATTGATAAAGATCGAATGGTTTTGTTAACATCCTTGTTAATGGAATATGGGCAATTGTACCATATCCTTATTTTTGAATTACACTTTGATCTCTATCCGTATCAACAATAAATATTATCTTTATCATGCAGTACAATTGACCAAATTTATAAAATAGGGTTTATACATGTATATACGTAAATAAATTAAATCCCATATATCATGTTTATTACTTAATTGTACTGACCCCTCATCCATATCCTCAACCACAAATCGCTTAATTTAGATCAATAAAATTGAACTATGGGAACTTCTTTTTGAAAAACCTGTTTCGGAGCATTCATAATGTGATAAAGATTGTGTAACCGATATCAAGTTTAAACATCAATTGTTAACTTGTCTTTTAATATTTTATTGACAATATCACAACGAGGTAATAAAAGTCTTTATTCAATTAAAATACTGTTGATCCACAGGGCATTTTAATGAATGTCGTTTTGTTACCATTTAGAATTATCCAGTTGACCAACAGTAAGTTTTAATTTGTTTTGTTGGAATAAACGCAAGCTATTTATATTATATTATGATGAATCTTGAGAAGACAAAAATAATTTCTTATGAATATTCATTTATTTCAAAGATATTCTAACTCGTCTGGTATTTTTTTTTATCAAAGATATGTGTTTGGGACTTCGGATACGACGGTGGACGGTTAAACAGTGAGTATATTTCTTCTTTTTTTTATAATGAATTTCTTTTTATTTGCACATGCACTTAATAGTAAGTTATACACATTTTATGAATAATATGATATATAGGCAAAATGTATACAACATATTAAATAAACACAGCTATAAAATAGTTTGATACATTGAAGAATATGATTGCAAGATAAAAGCTTCTGGATAGAAAGTACATACTTTTTATTTATACAACATATGGTGTCTGTTATTTATCTTTATTGTTATGACAATGTGAAAGGGGTCTCTTCCGGTATAAACAAATTATTAATAAGAAGACTTTCTAAGGTTCAGATGCTTTATTACCAGAGAATAAAAACTCTGAAATAACAAAATTATAAACATTAATGATACTTCATGTAACATAGAATATATTATACACATACTATATCACAGACAATTTTAATACAGTTTAAACAATTTCTAATATAATAGTGTTACTCTAAACAGTAGATACACATTTACTATGGAATGTTCATTCATTCAATTGTGTAGTGAAATGTACATCACATGTCACATGTACTTTAATAAACCGGTTTCTGTGACCGACATTTAAATATAACGGTAATCAGTTTCATCTTGTTTACAACCAAATAGAATAAAATGTATATTAAAATTACTTCTCGCAAGTACATGAAAGTTTACAATTAAACTTCACAAATATTACAACATTCAAAAAGTATTTACTATGTCTGAATATCGACATATAAATTCTATACAACTGATTTGCTAAAAATGCGCAAATCGTCAAAGGAAATAATCCATGACTTACTATTATTTCTATAGTATAAAATAGTACAAAAACTACAAATTATGCGTTTACCACTTGTGGAGTGAGTTCTCCAGTAAATTAGGAACTTGGCACAAAGTATAAACAAGTAATCTACATCAGAGTCCTGAAAACCAAAATACAATAATAAGAACGGACTTTTAGTAATTATATAAAATACTAAACACATGACAATTGTATTCAATTCGTCCATATAAAAATAGCATTACGCGAACATGTAACTCGAATATTCTTTTCACAATATACTCTAATTTATCATACATGCCGCCATTTTTCTACATGCAGTATTCGTAAAATACTGTTATTACGATATCTCTTAACATTATATAATTACGCTATGACCAGCGGCAAATATTACATTACTCTATAAAAATATATAAAAATATGAACTAGCTTCTTTACCAAAATACGCTCATTCAAATCTTTCATTCCGGTGTTATAAACATGCGATCTGAAGAGTATTTACTCGAAAATAGGAAAGTTAACCAAATCTATTAATTCGTGTCAAAATGTTAATAAAGAAGAATGTGCAACTTACTAGTCATGTCTAGAAAACTATAAAGCTGAATCTAGTAATATACAGTCTGTAAATATGGTTTCTGAGTTATAACATCTGGATAAATAAATGGACGTCTTTCACTGACCAATGTCCAGGTAAAATTCTACACAAAGAGCACAAAGGAAAAACTCAACTTAACCGCCAATAACTAAGAACCAATCAAAACAAGAGTTCAATTTCAACCCCCATGAATATGTATGAGTAACATTACTCAATACGTAAATCATATACTAAATCAAATCTTAAAGGATAAATATCCTTTAGTAACAATACTTTGCAAGAGTGAAATAAAAAACTAAGACTCAAATAAGAATTTGATAAGTTGATTTTTAATATAAATCAATGATTTCCAAAGTGCAAATTACATAATTTATGAAGCATAAAAAATCACTCTGCTACAACAATAAAGGTGTCCCGGGGTTCCAACAGTTCTCCGCCCTACTAAGTCTACTCTTTTATTTTTATAAAATAGATATTTTTCTATTAATAAGTTTTCCTTTAAATACTTTTTTAGCGCTTGTCATGAGTATATATCTGAATTATAGTCATTTCGTACCCTAACCATTTCGTACCCTGGCAAAAACCATTTCTTAACCTGACCGTTTCGTACCGTGACCATTTCGAACCTCATGGAATATTTATTGAAGTTGAATTTCAATTCTTATGAATTTGTCCCTGTAGAAATATTCAAAGTATTATATATCAAGCTAGAGAAGGCGGTACGTGCCTTAGCGACGTTATTTATCTGTAATCTGATTTACACGGACGCAAAAGATAAATATTTTATCTTTTTACTTGCTATAAAAAGTGCAATTAGTTCTGATAAAACAGGAAAAGTGCTATTATCTTAAATTTTCCTGATGCAGTAATATTTTCCGAAGATGTTTTGTAGTTATGGATTTGGAATGAAATCTTAATTGCGTCTATTTTTCTGTCATCAAATTGATACATTATCACTGCTTTTGTATGTATATATGAATCGCTGTACTATCTTGTCTTTTTCTGGTTTAATTGCCAAAATCTTTTTGCTGATAATTGATAGCATTTCTATGTAAATTAAAATGTTATTTAAAACTATGCTATGTGAGCCTTATGACTTTTGAATTTTCACCTTTTTCATTGTGCTGTTTCTAGGATAAACAACCAGATAACCAACAAGATTTTTAATTGCACAACTTTATTCATATAATGCACCGAAAAGACATCCAATGGGTGCGTAGTGCATCATTCTAGTATAAGGTAAAAACTGAAAAGAAAAAATAAACAACCTTTACAATATGATCAAAACATCATAAAAGCATTCATAAAATGTTTCTCTGCTCAAAAATACAATGAAAATGACAAAAATAAAATATTAATCAAAAATGTCCCAAATGGCGTGCCATACATACTACAAGTAGTGACGAATACATAAATGTCACGAATGGCGTTCCATAGATTTAAAATTTAACCGGGAGTTTCATACACAACTCGTATCTCAAAAATTATCTTTCCAATAGGAATATCAAATAAAAAACATTAACGGGGGTAGAATAAAATATGTTTGACAATATTATCAATATAAAAAACTTACCACGTTACGAGACAGTGAGGAAAGAACATGAAATTATTGTCACAATGTTTTCAAAACAAAGCAGGAAGTGATGTGATGTTACAAAAAATAGAGTCAAATATGGAACATAAATTCCGGAATTCCGGTGACAGAACACTCCTCGTCTGATATACACAGATATCACTCTTTGTAAAAACAACAAACACAACATTTTCTAATCATCTGTTGAATAAAAAATATACCTTGTACATTTATTCAAAAACTTCAACTTGGACTACCGATACCAAATATCATTATATAACTGAACTTATGCTTTTCAAAAAATAACATATATACATTACAATATCAAAGGTCATCAAAAATACCCAATTGTTCATTTTTGTCATGACTATCAATCAATTAACATAAGTCAATAACAAGTGTTTTACTCTGAGACTAATAGTACAAGTTCTGTGACTGGACGGGTATATACAACCGGTTTTCCTTCTCTGATTATGCGCACACACTTTGCGGATAATACCATCAGAACTGATTAAAGATTCTTCCACTAATCCATGTGGCCACTGATTTCTACACACAGCTTTGTCTCTTAACAGAACGACATCACCTGTTCGAATATTAGGTCTATTTTCCTGCCATTTCCGCCTAGTCTGAAGTGTCTGAATATATTCTTCTCGCCATCTAACCCAAAACATATTAGATAACATTTGAACTCTTCTCCATTCCGCTTTATATAGATCTTTCAAATTAAAGTCATCTAGCGTATAAATTGTGTCAGTATCACATGTTTTCTGTGTAAGAAGTGTTGATGGAGACAGAATAATCGGTGAGTCGGGGTCTGAAGATATCGGAACAAGAGGTCTGTTATTTATAATCGCAGAAACTTCTGCCATAAAGGTCACAAGAACATCATGCGTAAGATTTTTTCCATTCACTGATGACAGCATAGAGTCTAATATCCGGCGAAAAATTCCTATCATCCTCTCCCACACTCCTCCCATGTGAGAGGAGTGAGGAGGGTTAAAAATCCACACTGTGCCTGATTTATATATGAAGTCTCTTACTGGACCATTTTCTACGTTGACTGTATCAATTTTCAAATTTTCTGTTGAACCAACAAAGTTTGTTCCGCGATCTGATCTAAACACTTTCACTTTCCCACGATTCGCCACAAATCTTCTAAGAGCATTTATGAATGCCGAGGACGACATCTCTACTACCAATTCGATCTGTACTGCACGAGTTGTGAGACAAGTAAATAATATTGCCCACCGCTTAGACTGTGCGCTGCTCCACGGGTTTTTCGAGTCACTACATTCCAAGGACCAAAGGCATCGATGCCAACATTAGAAAAAGGTGGACCAGGTTCAAGTCGATCGGATGGTAGATCAGACATCTTCTGAAATTCAACTACACCTCTCAATTTTCTACATTTAACGCAAGAATGAATGAATGACTGTATTAAACGCTTCACTCCGGTTATCCAAAAACCTGCCTTTCTGATGGCTCCTTCGGTAAAATGGCGTCCCTAGTGACAAACAGTTTCATGAAAATGCCGTATGAGTAACTTGGCAATGTAATGCTTACCCGGGATAATGATAGGGTTTTTCTCATGCAGTTCAATATTTGCCTTGTTCAATCTTCCGCCGACACACAGAACACCACGTGAATCAAGAAATGGATTTAATGACACAAGAGTACTATTCTTGGGAAGACGCAAATGTTGTCTAATGTTATCAATTTCTGTTTGGTAAAATTCATTTTGAACCACTCTAATAATAAATAATTCAGCTTCTTTATAAGTTTCAACAGACTTAGACCTTGTGTCCCCAGTCACTGCTGCCGTACGATACTTGGCAACTTTTTTTAAGAATGATATAGATTCTACTAATCTTATCCACTCTGAAAATCTCTCAAAGCGCTCCGATCCAAGAGCCGTTTGAAAATCAACAGATGTTTTTAAAACATTAACCCGCTGCAATGGACGCAATTCCTTGTCATCAGTAGGCTCAATCAACGGATATAAAGTTTCTGAACATGCTGCTTGATGTTCACATTTAGAGATGAATTCTTCGGGACCGAGAATCCACAGACTACTGTTTACTTTATCTGCCGCAATACTCCTTGTACCTTGATCAGCTGGATTTAGTTGTGTCGGTACAAAATTCCATTGCTCCGGAGAGGAGCTCTTTCGTATACGCTGTACTCGATTAGCCACATACGTATAAAATCTTCTCGTTTGGTTTGTTACGTAACCTAATACAACTCTACTGTCACTGTAGAACTTAACGGTGTCAATCTTTCAGTCTAAATTGTCAGTTACGAATTCTGCTATTTCAACTGCCATAACAGCGGCGCATAACTCCAATCTAGGTATAGTATTTCCACTCATCGGCGCTAACGTCGTTTTTCCTAACACAAAACCTAGATGGGAGGATCCGTCATGGTGAAAAACTTTTAAATATGACACTGCTGCAATCGCTTTCTCAGATGCATCTGAAAATGTATGCAATTCAACTTTTGAAGCATCTCGAATTGAAATTGGCGTAAACATTCTACCGATCTTCACATTTTCAAGGTGTGTCAAAGAAGTTCGCCATGTTTCCCATTCTTGTCGATTCTCTTCTGATAGCGGCTCATCCCAATTCACTGATTCAGTCATGAGCTTCCGGAGTACAATTTTACCCTGAATAGTCACTGGCGAAATAAAACCAAGGGGATCAAAAATACTATTGATCGTTGAAAGGACGCCCCTACGTGTAAACACTTTTTCACTGTCCAAAACTCTGAAAGTAAAGGTGTCCGACTGCAAGTCCCAATACAGACCAAGTGTTCTTTGTAATGGCAAATCGTCCGTATCCAGATTTCGCTTCTCCAAATTTTCAGCAAGATCATTAGGATTTAGCGCAGCCCTTACTACGCTGCTGTTTGATGATAACTTATGTAGACGCAAGTTTCCAAATGTCTTGAGAGCTTCTGTAGTTCTATTTAACAAGTCAATTGCTTCACTCTCATTGCAGACTGATGTGAGGGCATCATCCTCATAGAAATTTCGGCAGACAAATTCCTGAACATCCTTTCCGTAAGTTTGCTGAGCAATCTCTGCTGTTTTCTGGAGTGCATATGTCGCAATAGCCGGAGAGGGACTGTTACCAAATGCATGTACTCTCATGCGATACTCTGTTAATTTTTTCTTGATGTTGTTGTCCTCATACCACAGAAATCGCAAATAATTCCTATGTTCCTCGATTACAGAGAATGAATAAAACATCTGTTGAATGTCTGCCATAATACCAACTATTTCTTTTCGAAACCGTACGAGAACGCCAACCAAATTATTTGTAAGATCAGGTCCCCTGAGCATCACACTGTTTAGAGAAACATTGTCATAACTCGCAGAGGAGTCAAACACACATCTTACTTTGTCTGGTTTTTTGTGATGGTAGACCCCGAACACAGGTAGGTACCAACATTCTTCATTATTCTTTAGAGGAGGAGCCAACTCTGCGTGTTTACAGTCAAAAAGTTTCTGCATAAATGTAAATATGTGTTCTTATTTTACTGTATCTCTATGAAAACTTTTCTCCAATGACTTAGCACGATGTAAAACCATTGCTCTGTTGTTTGGAAGACGTCGTCTCGGAGTGCGGAAAGGTAAAGGTGAACACCAGTTACCATCTTTGTCCTTCTGGAGATTAGTTTGCATTAATGTCAAAAATTGTCTATCTTCTATAGATAATCCAGGTTTGTCGTCTTGTACAGTGCGTTCGAAAATTGCACTTGTAATTGTATCGTCTTTCTTTTGAGAGACTCCAAAGTTAACACTACCGCAGCCAAAACACTCATGAACGTCATAATTGTAAGGACAAGGTTGAAGGATCGAAGCTCGACCATCTGGTGCAAGATGTGTCAGATATGCAGTAACATCATCAGGAGCATGTATTCCGCCTAAGCACATGTTTCCTATAACTACCCAGCCTAGAGGAAGTTTTAGTGATAACGGGGCATTTCGAGGTCCAACAATTTGTTCTAAAACCTGATGTGCTTCTGTCATGTCTCTTCCAATGAGAAGCATAATTTAACAATCTGGGTCCAGTGGAGACAAGTGATCTGCCATTTCTTTCAAATGGTTATGTCTGATAGCAATATCCGGTGTGGGTATTTCCTCTCTGTTATGCGGTAGATCACTACATTCTATTAACGTTGGTAATTCCAACTGAACCTGTCCATCTAATGACTCAACTACAAAGCCACTGGCTCTACGTCCTGACATTTTCACACGACCTGAGCATGAAGATAACATATATTCTTCCAATGTACCATGCACTCCAAATGTGTCGAAAAATAATGGTGATGCCAATGAGCGATTACTCTGGTCGTCTAATATGATGTAAAGTTTCAAGTTATCATATCGTCCATGTTGTCCAGGTCTAAAAACTCTCACTGGCAAGATTTTTGCGCATGACCTTCCATGGAATGATGTCCCACAAATTTCTGTGCACTTAGTTGCAACATTGTCATTTTGAATATCTATTTTTTCCTCCCCGCCGTGGACAGGCGAACTTGATTTATTATTATTCTGATCTATCGAGTCGATAGAGCGATTAATATGTAATGCTCCAGGATGGCGGTCACTGCCACATTCGCTACATCTAATTGCGTTAGTACATGTTCGTTTCACATGTTTTGTCGATTCACAACAACCGTAACAAATTTTATGATCATTGATAAACTTTTTACGTACTTGGAAAGGTTTTGCTTTGAATGCTTTACACTGGTTTAACGAATGTCCGGTTTTATGTAACAAACATTGTTTTTGTAAATCAAGGTCACTAGAAACATCCGTTTTGTGAACTGAAATAGCTGTCTTATATGCTGGTGGTTTGGCAGCTGTGTATGCTTTTTTAGGTTGGTTTGTCTGATCATACGCGAAACTGGGGTCGTTTCTTATCTGGCTCAATTCTCGAATAAACTTCACAAAAAATGTAAATGGTGGAAAGGTTACTTGTTTTTCTCTTTTATACTGAGATGCTCTATTTGTCCATTTTTCTTGTATGTTGTACGGAAGTTTATTCAGTATAGGGAGAACTCCGGACGAGGAGTCAAAGTACGCTAACAGTGAATTATATTTGACATCTTCCTTAATGGATTCTATTTCAGAAAGAATGTCTACTAACTCATATAGCTTTTTGTTGTCTTTCTGTGTTAATTTCGGGAAATTGTTTAATTTGGCCATTAATGACGCTTCAACTGACTCTGGAGAACCGTAACGTTCATCTAAGCGTTCCCATAAACGTTGTAATCCTTTTGTTGGATCATGAATATTTGATGCTCTAATACTGTTTGCATGCCGTGTAGATTCAGGACCTAACCATTTCACCATAAGATCTAACTCTTCCATCGCTGTAACAGAAAGTTCACTTTATATGTTTTTGAAACTAGCCTTCCATACAGCATACATTTCAGGTCTATCACTGTAAGTTGTTAATCTTGATAATAGCAAATCTTTCTTTAGAAGGAATCGTGTGAGATCTGTAGCAATATTCTGATGTGTGCTTATATCAGGATGAAATTGAGGTGCGTTCTGATGTGTGCTTATGTCAGGTTGAATTTGAGGTGCGTTCTGATGTGTGCGTATGTCAGGTTGAAATTGAGGTGCATTAGGATTCAATGCATGTTCTTGAACTTGTATATTTATATCGTTATCATTACAACCGGCACTTACACTTGGCACATCATATTTTGGGCGAGACGGTTTTGGTGTTGGCATAAGTGAATGTTCATGGACTGCATCGCCTGATGTCTGATTTGCAAATGGATCACATGGTACAATATTATCGTCTGGCGGTAATTTTACATCTTTTACTTGAAGTAGCTGCTGTTCTACATATTGATTAGTTCGTTCATAAACAGGTTTTGATAGAAGAAGATCAGATTTTTTACTACCGCAAACATTTTGGTCATATTCAAGCGCATCTGCCTCTGCAGAAGCGGCAGCCGCTTCCTTCTTATAATTGAGCAATTCTAATTCAGCTTCCAACTCAGCCTTTTTAGTAAATGTCTTTGCATTTGAAACTTTTTCTTGTTCTTCTATGTGTGCCTTCAGTTTCTGTAAATCTGCCTCTTTCATGGCGAATTCAAGCTTAGCCTGGGCTGCTTCTGCCTTTGCACGCTTTCTGATTGCTACAGAGCTTGAGTTTGAAGAAGTTCTAGACTGTGCTTGGGATCTATGTGGTAATTTAGATGCTTTTTCGTCCTTGTCTGACACTTTTATTTGTTGAAGTGCTCGTTCTAAAATGTTTTTGTACTTCGAATCCTCGATTTTGTGCTCCTCATACACTTGGAGACTTTCCTCTGTCTTAGTGTTCTTAAGAAATTTCATATAATCATCTGAATAAAGACTGTATTTACAGTAACACAAATTTAAAGTTTTCTTTAATTCTATCAATGTGTTGGTGTCTTCTTGTTTTGTCGTAGAGAATCTCTCAAGGCAAAGTTCTACTTCAGTTTGTACGAGTTCAATCTTCTTTGAATGAGTATTCACGTTAGCTCTATAAAGGTCAAGTCCACGTTCCGTGAGAGTGCGTTTTCTTGGATCCGTGTTATCACCATTCCCATGTTGTGAATCCATTGTCTCGTCTTTTTACTGTGCTGTTTCTAGGATAAACAACCAGATGACCAACACGAATTTTAATTGCACAACTTTATTCATATAAGGCACCGAAAAGACATCAAATGGGTGCGTAGTGCATCATTCTAGTATAAGGTAAAAACTGAAAAGAAAAAATAAACAACCTTTACAATATGATCAAAACATCATAAAAGCATTCATAAAATGTTTCTCTGCTCAAAAATACAATGAAAATGACAAAAATAAAATATTAATCAAAAATGTCCCAAATGGCGTGCCATACATACTACAAGTAGTGACGAATACATAAATGTCACGAATGGCGTTCCATAGATTTAAAATTTAACCGGGAGTTTCATACACAACTCGTATCTCAAAAATTATCTTTACAATAGGAATATCAAATAAAAAACATTAACGGGGGTAGAATAAAATATGTTTGACAATATTATCAATATAAAAAACTTACCACGTTACGAGACAGTGAGGAAAGAACATGAAATTATTGTCACAATGTTTTCAAAACAAAGTAGGAAGTGATGTGATGTTACAAAAAATAGAGTCAAATATGGAACATTAATTCCGGAATTCCGGAGACAGAACATTCATCTTCACTTAGTTTATTCTATATACTATAAAAAAAAAAAAAACAATCTTTCGTACTTCTATGGGAATTATACGCATCCATCAATTGTAATATTTGTTACATTTTACAACAGTTTTTATTATTATAAAACATTTCCTAAGAATGTATTGATACAACGTTTTTACTTTTTGTTTTTGTTTTCGACTTATGAGTTTTGAATGTCCTCGTGGTATCTTCCGCCTGTTTTAAAGGATGCATTTAATGAATTATAATTTTTGAGTATTTAAATTATTAATCATGGATGTACACTGAAAATGTCTTCAATTTTGTAGTTATTAATAGCGAATCTTTAATTTAAACGGAAGACAAACTTCTGATTAATGTCTACACTTTTATATTGTCTTTATTTCCTTTCAGTGATTATACTTCAATTAAATCTAATATGTAAATATTATTATAATAACTAAATGAACACTTTATAAAAGAAATATTAGTCATGACACCAAAAGCACACATAGAAGAAGTCTTGAAGAAAAAAAGTGTCGGTAGGGTTTACATGAATCATAAATTTGATACATGTTATTTCATAAATGATATTTAAAAAAAAAAAAATAAAGGATCATTCCGTATGTAAATAATGTTTTTTTTTCAGCTTTTCGAACTTTTATAATTTTGCATGTTGTATCAAACCGTGTCATGCTGCTTGATTGTCATTTGTATAAAATGAGGAGATGTTGTATGATTGCCAATGAGACAACTCTCCAAAAGGGAAAACGAAGCGAATTTAAGCAATTATAGAACACAACTACGGCCTTCAACCATGAGCAAAACCCATTCCGCATAACGTGTTTTAATCATCTGTAGTTATATATCAATTGTTTAACAAACTACACACACTTGTATCTATGAAAACAAATATTAATAATCTATGATCATATAAATATAAAAGTAAGGAGATGAGGTATGATTGCAAATGAGACAACTATCCACCAAAGTTCAAATAAAGTGGATAATTTAAAAAAGAAATATTTTGACACCACACATTTATTGGCAAATATAGAAGCATATTGTCTGCTCCTTTGTCATCTTTTACTATTATGACAAAACCGGACCCTGGAGTCGTATGACTATATGCGATGTAAATATTAATTTTCAATTGAAAAATAATTATTGTCGATATCACATAGCATGCAGGTCTAAATTAAGTCCAGCAATTAACAATTATTCAATCATTTAGTATGTTTTATGGGCCAACAGAGATGAAAGGTTGACCATTTAAAGTGATACTTGAAAGAGGAAACGGGACCTATTCGATGGGTACAAAAGTTTGTCTGACAATTTAATTATCGCCTACACATTCCGTATTAAACATTTATTAAAGGATGGTTTTACATGCAGATAACACGATATTCAAAATGCCGATCACTATGCTTCTTTTCACCGCCTCAAACCAAAATCAACCCCCCTGTTAGAACGAACCTTTAGGATGACAGATTACAATGTTCTATGTGCCATATCTTTTCGAAGTTCATAATTATAAAAAGAAGCTGCTTCTTCGTTGTAAACGCTCTTATATTTAGTAATGTATCAATGCAAATTTATTTGTAATCCACCCTATTTCAGTAATTTTAATTGAACGGACACCTCTATAAAAGTAGTGACTGTGGTAATTTTGAGTTCAGTGGCCAATACTACAAGTTTAATTATACCAGAAATGTATTATATTATACCTAAGAGACAGTGAGGTTGAATATAATTTATGTAATACGAGAATATTTTAAATTCTTTTTTTCTGAATGTTTCGCACACAACAATCATTTAATTCTTTTTCTTCATGTCTATCTATACTACTAACATAACGAGGTCCAATTTGTTAGCCGACATGACGTAAAAACGACGAATTCAAGAATTCAACTTTATATATAACTAATATAGGACAATGGTGTTAATTAAAAATTACACCATTCCAGGACCTTTTGTTTTCCACCTAATTAATTAATATTAGCAACAATTAACAAGTTCCGGGTCGAATCCGATACCGATACCAATAGTATATGTCACCTGTTACCTATTACCTAATCTGTACGTTCCGCCTCTGTCAGGCGCACCAGTCACGGGTCATAATCACACCTGAACTGCGTCATTATACAGGAATTGACACTACTAAATTCAATCATTGTCACATGTAGTTTCCGGTTGCATTAAGAAAACCAGGACGGGTTCAAACAGAAAGATTTTGAAAGAAGACTAAAACAGTGCACCTTATAATCAGCATGACTTTATCAGATGACAATACGAATACTAAAAATCCAGGCTGAAAATAAGGCGTAGTTACTTTAATTCAGTCACGGAACCGCGATGTCGCGGTAGTGTTCTAGTATCAATACTTAAAGAATATTGACAATCTGAATTAAAGCGGGCTAAAGCGCTAGCTTTATTAGCTATACACCAATACAGTTTACATCTCTTGCACTGACATCGACATGGAGATACCAAAAAGGCTGATTTCATTATTATGGCACCCTCAACGGAGTTGGGGTGACATATTGTTATTGTACGATTCTTTTTTTCATTTTTATTTTTATTATTATTCTACACATTTTGTCCATTCTCGGAATCGTATGGACCAATTGTAATGGAACTATACAATAATGTTAACCACCATTGTCAGAAGTGCACTGAGAATTGGCACTTCCAAGATGGCCACTGTTACCATGGTAACAGTAAAAGAGTGAAAAAATGAGATTTTAGTTTTTAGTGGATAATTTGAGTATGCCTGAACATTGGATCATCAAATTTTTACACATTGTAGCTGTCCTCTAAATACAAGTTTTGGATGATTTTGGGAATCCTCAGATCTACAATGTTGCCATGGAAACTGATCAAAAATATCAAAATTTTTAAAATTCTTTAAAAAATGTATGAAACTTTACAGAACGGTTGACTGGCAAATCTAGATGTGGCATTTTACTTTGGAATTTCCAAAATGGCTGCCGTTACCATGGAAACAAGGCAAAAATATCAAAATGCTCAAAACTTCATAAAACTTTACAAAAATGTTAAACACCTTACATAAATGTAGCTTTTGACTTTTGAATTTTCAAAATGGCCGTCGTTGATGATCAAATCGTTCAGTAAATACATACTCATAATATTCATGTTAAAGCTAACCAATTAATCCATCTTCAAGCTCGAAAAATTCGGAAATAAAAGGGGATAAAATGGGGAATTAAAAAATACATATTTGTAAGCTTAAAGGTGCACACGTACATGTACTGTGACATTTGATAATGAATCCGCATTTAACTTTTGATATAAAAGTACTTAACTATCTTGGCGAATCCAGGTTTATTCGAATGCGTGGTTTACCAATATAAAGTGTCCAGAAGCTCGTTTGTCTTTATCAGTGCAACACATATAGTTTCTTTTCTTTATTTAAATGCAAATCAGAATATTTGATATAAAAAATTAGAACAGCATTGAAATGCCTCTCGCCGTCGCCCACATTTCAACAGTCCATGGGTAATGTAGTACAGGTTCGGATTGCACTAATAGGAACTATAAACCCTTGAATATATCGACACTCAATCTTGTTTTACCACAAACATATTCCGGATGAAGGCAAATCCAGAAAAGCACGTCGGCTCTGCTGGTGAACTGTTAGTTCCCGAACGTATCAGTAAGTGCTCTGGTACTGACATGAATAAAAACAATCTTTTCAAAAATGTTCGTTAATAAATTAAGTTACTTAGAAGTAGATTCCAACTATCTCGGTCAAAATTGACCGTAGCCGAATTTGGCTATTATTTTTACTTCTACATTAGTTACATCGTTCATAATGTTTCTAAGAATTTGTACATCCCTTGTATGCAAATCTTAAGGTCGGAGTGTCCTTGAGGGTAAGTACAGAAAAGCGCTTCGGACGTACAAAATTTGTATATATGTATGAATTATGTTTATGTTTGATTATATTAAAGTAATGCACCTTATGATGACAATCACAAGCTCTAACTTCTGAAACACTAAAAAAGTGAATGGGTCCTATTAGTCAATATGAGATGCGTGGTTGCATGGGTATTCTATAATAGCAAAAGGTGTTATTGCCATTTGTTGTCCCAGCAGACAACAAACCCTCAAAGAATATATTTTTATGAAACAACTTTGTTGACTGCCTAACAACAACACTTGGTATTTACTGTAATCTATGTACTAGTATCTTACTTAATCATCGACATTATTCAACTTAAAATAAAAACTAGAACATATGCTTCATAATAAGATCTTGTTCTAGGAATAATAGTCTAATGGACGAACTTTAACAAATATCTACGACAAACGTTACGATTTCATTTTTCCTATTGTCAAATAACAATTGCTTTCGGAAGTACTAGTACCAAACCATCTGCCAAATGTAGCGCACTAACACATCTCAATTGATACGCTATGCTTGGCATGTTTACAGTGTACGGAATTCTTGAATAGGGATTTGCCTCTCACTAAAATTTATTCCCGCAGTGTTATGAAGAAGACTGAAACAATGTGTATGTTTGACAGTTCAACAGAGACATTTCGTTGTGGTGTAAGATCTAAATACTTCTAGGAACTTGTCCTGTCTGCATTTCCCCGATTGTGCAAAATTCCTTTTCATGACATTTTTTTTTAAAACTTGAGACTCGTACCACATTCACGCACCTGGTCTTGCTTTGTAATTTCTTCAATGACATGCTTTGTTCGATTTGTTGACGAAAAATATATGAAGCAATTTTTTTCCTTTTAATATGTTCTCCTTTAATTTGTATTCAATATTATTTCTTTTCTCGATTTTATTGATTCTGCAAAATGTTTCATTTCAACGCCAATATTTATCTCTTGCATTACTAAACTTGGGCATGACAAACTTTATTTACGAATGAAAGAACATTTCCAATACAATTTGTTACCTTTTTGAAATCCCTATCAAAATACCCTTTTAAAAATGGAAGTACTAACCTTCATCTATCGATCACTTAATCAGTCAAACACAATTGCATGACCGAAAAAATGAAAACAAAAATATACCTTTAAAAAGCATACAGGATACTAAAGAATACTTTTAAAATGTCCTAAATATTATTTTCAGAAAGCTATCATTGATATTTGTTGCTTAGCAAGTGTAGATTGAAGCAGACTTGCCATCATACAGACATAACAGGCGAAGTTTTTGAAGAAAGGTAGATCATCTTAATTAAAATCTATAATGAATTTATGAGTGGGCACAGCAAAGACATGTATGATAAGATGTTGAAGGACATGAACACATTACCGGATATATCATATATAACACGAGATGTCCTCAAGTTTAAAAGTAAATCATACTCAACAATTTCTGCAACTTACAAACAATTCCAGACGTAAAATACCAAAATATATGACTATGGAACGCTGCGGCTGTCTTATTAGTCTAGCTTTCTTACAATTTGACGAAAGATACGCACGCTTGACGAATCATACGTAAGACCCGTTTGAGGGATCCTTTATTTTGACTTTTGAATTCTTTTTATGTAATATTAATCAAGGTTGTCATGAGACTTAGATAGCGTTTCGCCTCAATGTTTGCCCATCTAGGACCATAACACTGCATGCAACAGCATATGTCAAACTTGAATTTTTATGTGACATTGGAACTTTGTGACGTACGATGAAAAAAAAACTGTGGTGAAAGACACAACTCAACGAAATTTGCTTAACATTGACTCGTCAGAAGAAAAAAATACCCCTAAACAAATTGTGCTCAAATATCCACCCCCCCCCCCCCCCCCCCCCCTCAAAAAAAAAAAAAAAGATAATGCAAAAATAACTTCTTTGCATGATCTAACCTAAAAAAATACCAGTGGAAAATAAATTCCCATCGCCAATAAGAAAGAATACAGAAATTACTTTGAAAATTCGAAATTTTTAATTTTGAAACCCTCCAAAAATAGTAAAATTTATTAAAAATGAGACCCCAAATATTTAACGGGGCTCGCATATTCATCAAGATGTTCAAATGTGTAATACATGTAAATGTACGAAACCAGATTTATTATTATTTGTCCTATAATAAGGGATCACGGGCGGATTCAGGAGTTGGGTGCATCTGATGTGTTTTTTACTCGGCAGACAAATTCCTAGCCTCATATTCTGACATTGGTCTATTATATGCACAACTAAGCCAGAGACAGATACGGTTTCATCTTCTGCAACACCTGAATTTTCCGTTTTATTTCAGTATAACTTGTTGTTTGATGTCTGTTTTTGTTCTGGACCATTTAAAGTTTGTTATACAGTGTAGACTATATATAGCTCATAGTCATATTGAACTCTGTTTGCATTGATGTAGATGCTCATCTATTTATTGGTCGGTTACTGTCTCAGCTGCGTGTGTGTGTTAGTTGTTCCAAATGGAATTGACACTATATTTTACAAATTTGCTGGTGTTTTGTGAATGCTAAATCACTGATTGGTCTACAACTAATAAAGGATTTTAAACCAATTGACGACGTTTAATATTATCTGATTAAATCAGGCATGCATCTAGCATTGACTGAATATATTAGTTTAGAGCATCATACTGCAAGAATTTCATTAAAATGTTAATGGTTTAAACATTAAAAAGAAGCATGCTTGAAAATTCACCCGCAAATATGTGTAATCGTGGTTGTCATAAGCAACGTAAACATAGACTCTCAGTGTTATCGCGGGAATGTAATATATACTCCCTTTACGTTCGTTCGTACCTTTCGTCAAAATGTAAAAAAGCTCTATTAGATACTTCGACATTAGGTTATGTGGTTTTATTATCATTTTATGATATTTTGTCTTTACATACTATGGTTTTGACATTTCTTAATGATGTTTCGATATTACTCAATAAGATTTTTGATATTACATGATATGGTTTCGTAATTACTTGATATAGTTTTGTCATTACTTAATACGATTTCATTATTATCTTATGTGGTAGTATCATTAGGCAATGCGGTTTTGATATTACTTGGTGGTATGTGGGATAACGCAATGCAGTTATTTCTTAACATGATGTGGTTTTGGTATTTTGTAACGATGAATTGTCAATTCTGTATATGGCTTTAGAATTATATAACAATGTTTTCAATTTTTAACAATTATAAATTACATGATGTGTTTATTCCAGTATTTGATGTAGTTTTGTAATTCGTTGATGTGGTTATCGCATTACTTGGTGAGGTATGATCACGTGACCATTTTTCAATTCATCAAGTAATAATAAAATCACATAACGTAATGCCAGAGTACCACATACATTTGTAAGCCAGCTGTGGCGTTCCTTGTATGACAATTTTTGTTTCAATACAATGAAAAATAGCAATTTTAATATAACTATCTATATATGATTGCTAATTCTTGCAAAACAATTTGAGTATTATAGTGTATATTTTCAAACAAAATTTATACGACTCTGCTGACGATATACGAACAAAAGGAGTAGGTCCGGTAAAGGCCGATTTTGGACTCAAATTCCAGGTTCATCTGATGAAAGATTTTGATCACTTTTTAAACACTTAAGTGTCTACTTCAGTCGATTCAATTAGTTTTTGTGACAGATTTGAACTGATTTTATCACTAAAGACGCTTAGATTCAAGCTTTAATATGAAAAATCTATCAAATATGCCATAAATATGTCACTTTTCAGATGATTTTTGTCAAAAATGAAAGTGGCCGCATCCGTGTTCACTCTCAACCTTTATATATGTTATGTATTATCATCAAATACAACTTGCATTTAAATATTAAGAATGAACACAAATGCGGCCACTTCCATTTAAGACGGAAGCCGTCTAAAATGTAACTCAAATGCTAAAATTGTGAAGATTTCAGTAATTTAGCATGACTTAATGATGCTAGTACCCGATATATATGCATTGTATTGTCTAAAACTGCCCATATTTATGTAGCAGAAGTATTCTACTTTGCAATAAATAGCTAAAAGTTTACATTTTAACAATTTTGTAAAACTGCTATATTTTGGGGCCAAAAAGGGGTCTTACTGGATCTACTCCTTTACTTGCATTCAGAAGTCGTAGAAAAAATCATGCTTTAGAAGTTCAAGGAGATTAAAAGATAAACACAAGACCACAACACATATATATATACATGTACAAATTTGTGCAACATAAACTGCGCTAAAAATGGATAAAACACCGAATGTTAAAAGAAAAGTAGTTCCTGCTGCGAAAGTGATTTCATTACACAACCTATATTCTCAATTTAATTAAATGTTTATTTAGCGAGGATTATTTACATCATAAAGCCTTAAAGGGGTTCTCCTCAACAACAAATATAAATGGAACACACTGAAATGTGTCGGTTTCCTGAAACGTGTGCGATTCCCCGAACATGTCCATATAACGTCATTATACGTTCAAACATATCTAGTGGGGGTAGGACGCCAATACACGCCCTTTCATCTACGCCTAATTGTCACCCGACTTATTAACAATACCATTACCTTCTACTGCACCGGATGCGCATTCCGGCAATTAATGTCCTTCCATGTTAATCGAGGGCAACATATTGGAAAATCGAAAATTTAATACATGCATGTACTATGAAGAACTGTTAAAGCACAGTATTATTTGAAATATGTGAAACAATTTCTACAGGTTGCCGGCGGCGAGATACCCTAATGGATAGTGAAGGTAGGTAAGCAACCCCGGACTATATTATATTATCACACATGTATTCTCTCAATAAAAAGTATTTAAATTGTACAAAAAATTAAGAAGAAAAAATGATATAAATACATTTGATTACAGATGTTACATTTCACATGTTGTACTATTTACACAGTACTGAAATACAGTAAACTTATGCCTAATGAACACTATTTTTCAAACTTTTAATATATACGTTTTTCTTGAATATGCATGAAATATTTGCAACTGTGACAAACAAGATATTCACTTAATATGTCTGGATTCCCTATAAAAACATACAAATATTTGGTTATTGTCATCCTTGCTTTGACCCCTCTGACGCTCTCCGCACAAGGTCCCGTTTTTGAATTTTCCGCTTTCAGCTCAGTATCCACTTTATTCTGCTGGAATTGTGACCAACATACTTCTTCATTGATGTCCTGGGATAGCAGTTTTGATCTTTTTTATCTTGTAACCCAAACAAAAACCCGACGTCTTCAATCGTGTACAACATTATTGAAGTTGTCGTAGCCGTTACCGACTTCCCAAAGGAAATAGTTTTGAAACGCTTGGCGTCTTAAAGTGGATACGTTTCGTCGGATCTAAATTATTGGACACGTTCTGGAAAGGTAAACAACAGATACGGTGAAGCGAAGACAATTATTGGACATGCTTGGTCAATAGGTGTTTGAAAGGACACCTTTGAGCGAAATGAATACGTTTTGGCGCGGCGGACATGTTTGGGGGATGGACAAGTTATATGTTACATATACACAATTCAAATACAAATACATTATATGTATCATGCCACAACGTACTCGCACATCCAATCAGATCATTAACGAACACTATTCGAATTAGCCAGATAATACTATTTGTGTTACGTAGGATGGACAGCTTTTAAAAAGACATTTGAATTTACACGAGGACAAATATGCCATTGTAATTTGCGGCAGAGGATAATTCTAATATCATTAAAGTAAGGACAAAAACATCAAAAGCGTAAAGAGGTATCTGGTATGTTCATTTAACGATAATAATTTCGATTAGGTAATGAATTATTTTTAAAGAGTTGTTATTCAAACACCTTAGTTCTTATTGCAGCCTAGTATGATACATTTTTTTCAGCTCTCATCCTAAAAGAGGACAATTAAAAAGAAGTGATTTCAATTACATTTTTTAAGTAAGGTTCACTAATTGATCGGTGTATTTTTACAGCGGCGCAACATGGCGCATACACATAGTTCCCAAAATTACTTCAGGCAAGGTACTTATAGTCAAGACTTCAGACAGCACCAACAGGTAAGGTTTCAGAAGATGAATAGTTATATAGGCATATATGAATTGGCCGTATTGGACATTTATTACCTATTGGGACCGGTATTTTCAACCTATCAATTTTGTAAAATACGTCGTGTAAGTCTTAACTAAGTATTCTTAGAACCACATACTATAATTTTCGTCAATATTAAATACATTTTAAGTGACGAAAAATTATAGAAATCATGCATTTTTATTTATCACGTGGTTTTCTGCGTCTTATAACATAGAGTAAGAATAATTTTAGATTAAAATTGCTATACTTTTTTGTGATATTGACACATATTAACTATAGCAGGTTCGGTTAATGTTTTAATGCAATTAAATTCCAGCCAAAAAATGCATTCAACGAGCAAACAAATCATGCAGCCTATACTGGTCTCATAACAACACAATAGTAAGACACACACAGACACACGAACATCCTCCATAAACCGCAAACTTTTTAATTTCAAAAGGATAAGTAAAAAAGAAATGTAAAATGTGTCCATATTCATCTCCAGCTATTAATATTTAGGTTACATATTTTGGTCAGCCTTTAACAATAACATTCAAATTCACATGAAGACAAACTTAAAATATGCGAGCACATGATAATTTTAATATCAGTATGGCACTAACAAAAAGAAAAACAGTGTAAAGTGGTTTCTGTAATGTTCCTATTACAGTGATTACAATTTCGACAGGGTTTCAAACTGTTATTAAAGTGATGGTAATTAAAACCACATAGGCATATAGCGATACATTTATCAAACTCTAATGCTCCAGGCGGAGGTAATATATTTTACTTTCATTCCTTATGAACAGGGTAAGGTTTTAAGGTCATTGTTGTATTTTTACAGCAGCTCAACATGTCACCTAGAACCTTAAGATAGAAGAACCATTGGGCTCAATATTGACATAAGAAAAATGGCTTATATTTGCGTGCAACTAATAGAGATGTCCATCACATTGTCAACATATATTTAAATGTGTCCAGTGGCAAATGTAGACATAATTGGCATAATTAGCAAATACAATGAATAATATGGGACAAACTGTATCAGTTCAGATTTGTATATATCCCTTGAGTTTCAGGTCTCGTCAGTTTACAAAAACAAAACATAATGTTGCAAACTACTTCGAAAATTATTTGTCGCAATATGTTTGTATTTTCGTTAAATATGTTCTATGTAAAGATTATAACCAAGGTTGTAATAATAACTTAATATTTCTCCATAGTTGAAAATAAATGAGGACAATAGAAATACAACAAAATTAATGTACATAAAAAGAAACGTACAAACAATTTCATGCTACGAACTTCTTCACAGTGAAATTGAAATTACAAAAACAATCATTTTTATTAAATCTGCTGTCAATGAGGCACATAATTTTACTTGACCAAAGTTCTCGTGTTTTTTTTTCACGGAAGTGTATCCATCTCTCTGACAAAGAATATGTATGATACATTTGCCACTGTGCCGTGTTTGGCTTATTGCATCAAGGTGTTGAGACGTACCTGTTTAGGGTTAGTTGGCCAAAACGCAGGAATGCTGTACCTGTGTTTATCATTTCCCGAAAGATTGTGAATACTTGCAGTTTAATTCTTATTCTAGAAATAATCGTATTATGTACTACTCTTTTATTTATTTCTAAATTATTTTCAAAATGCGATATTCAATATCCAAAATATTCATACATTTATTTAACTACAATCAGATTGTTCCCGTTTACACCAACTATTACAATACGACGAAAGAGCGTCATTTGTGACATGACGACACTGTTTCTAATCTATTTTAGACGAGGGACGATACTTTGGCTTTTTTTTCAAAAAGTTTTTAACCTCTCGGTCTTGAAGAGTTTTGAGTTCCCCTCGTAATAGCATGGCCATATGAATCATATCTAAAATTCGACGATCCAAATTCTCACATAAGAGGAGTATTATTTTCCACACTGGCGTCTGATGTTACTGACGTATAATTAAAAATCAAACTTCTGCTGGTTTTTTTTTGTATGTATACGAAATAATAGGTGGTTCTGTGTAGGGAGGTATACAGTTTTGAATGGTTGAGTCATTAAATATACTAGATAAGTTAATAAAATCAATACCTCTGTTAATATATTTAATTTTTAGTAACATGCCGTTTATGATCTTCAGGTTTGTCGATACGCGGGAACAGCCTATGGTGCCAAAAATCAATAATTATACGCGTACATTTATAAGTGAAAACGAGATTGTGTCACACTCCTCGAAAATATCATGTAATTTACTAATTGGTATTTGACCAAGTTTACATTATAATTGATGCCCACCATTGTTTTTAAATATACGTAGGAGATCATCAAGTGTATAATTTATACGATGTTTAATTCGTTGATTACGATTGATACGTTTGCCATGAGACCTACATGTATTTTAAGCTGTCTTTTATCAATAATATTCATGTTATCAACAGAAGACGTTTAAGATATTATCCCTTGTTCTATTATATTGTCATTTAGAGCAAGGGATATTCTGATTGCAGTCGTTTAATCTAAGACAGTTCGATAATTTTACGTTAACCTTCAAATTGTTTATGATTGCCTTTGTTGTTTCTGGATCGTTTCGAGTGGTTGGAATTTCATCAATTAAATATTGTGATTGTGTTTTCATAAATGTTTACAAATTATACTTTCGAAAATCTTAGGTTTTCGGAAGCGCTATAGGTGTTCATGTGTTCGTCGTCCCGTTCAGTTTGTCCTACTTATTGTATACCACACTTCGGCTTTGTCAAGTAACCAGATCAATGAGGATTTAAGTTCTTCAAGAATTGTCACGGGAAAAAGAGCGAAAAAGATCACCCGTTCACTGTTGACCTCACTGTATTATCAAAAGATAATATAGAGCATGATAGTCATTTTATGGCGTTGCACGGGAATATTTGTGGATATCCACATGCATTTTTATTTAATAATCTGGCTGCAGCGGCATTGCCTTTTTGACACAATTGTGAAAAGTGCTAAATTTGGAAGGGGAATTTTGATTGACGGCTGTTGAATTGATATTATAAATGCGTTTTTTTTTAGGACGTGAATATCTTTTAAGCAATGGTATATTTAGTTTTCTTGCCATTTTGAAAATCATGATTATTTATTGGGAAATGAGAAAATTAGATGAGGCCAAAAGTCATAACATTGAATAAGGAATACAATAACGGAATATATAAACAATTTATAAAGGAGTCGAAGAATTCTTATAAAAAAACTATAACGAACAGCCCGACAATACATATAATAATAATTGCAAATGGCTGATATTTTTGTGCGAGCATATTAATTTTCTTAAATTGTTTAACATTTCATACCGATATAACATGTTACTTTTATTATTCTTCCCTTAGTTTATTTATTTTGTATTTACATTGTATCATAGGTCAAATTTATTTGTTCAGTGTTTGTTCACTGGTGTTAATATGTCCTTTGATTGAGTTAAGCTATTTCATTTGATATTTCATAGTGTGTCTTTCTATGTTGTGATGTTACACTATTGTTTCAGAAAAAGGGTGAAGGTTTGGTACCATTAAAACGTTTAAACCCGCTGCATTTGTTTGCAACTGTCCTAAGTCAGGAATCTGATGTTCAGTAGTTGTCGTTTGTTGATGTGGTTCCTAAGTGTTTCTCGTTTCTCGTTTTTTATATAGATTAGACCGTTGGTTTTCCCATTTGAATGGTTTTACACTAGTAATTTAGTAATTTTTGGGGCTATTTATAGCTTACTGTTCGGTGTGAGCCAAGGCTCCGTGTTGAAGACATTACTGTGACCTATAATGGTTTACTTTTATAAATTTTGACTTGGATGGAGAGTTGTCTCATTGGCACTCATACCAAATTTCTCTACTATATAATTTGGAATTAATTCAGATTGAATAGAAATCTGTCTAAAACATAAAAGATTTCAAACAAGTTTCTGTAAAACCGCAATACGTACAGCTAAACCAATCATGTGAATGATAGCAAATTTTAAATACTAAATACAATAGAGGACGCAAAACAGGGTTGTTTTGGCACATGTGTGATTTTCCACACCTAAAATATTTACCCCTTTTCATTAGAAATTGTAAAGCACGAGAGAACAAAAACGATACATCTAGTAGTGGAAATTAAATCCATTTGTTACAGGGAGATCGTTTGTGTAATGCTTGTTTTACCTGTGAATTGTGGAGTGAAAAAATGATATCGAGAGCATAAAGCATAAACCTGTAATAAAATGAGTGTCACAATATAAGATTTCCATCCAGAAAGTCCTTACATCAAATTGTCATCTGATTTCGAAATCTTGGTTTAGTATTTCATCAATTGCTTTAAATCTTTCTGCCCGTAAATACCAATTTTTAAGATTATGTACATGTACATGTAATGTCTTACTCCCCTCGGTTTTTGGTATGGTATGTGTTTCTCAGTCTTTAGTTTTCTATGTTGAGTTTTGTAAACTGTTGTTTCTCTTTTGGTCCTTTTCTTTTTTTGCCATTACATTGTCACTTTGTTTTCGACTTATTAGTTTGAATGTCCCTTTGGTATCTTTCGCCCATCTTTTACTGGTAATACCAATTTTGATTCGGTTTGTATATTAGTCAACAAAAGTAACGATACACAAGTTTGAACTCCAATTTATCATAAAATATTATAAATAGGTAAAACTGTTAAATTATCCAATGAAAAACATTAATTTGCATAGCAAATGCATATGATTAAAAGAATCTGAACAAACTGGAAAGTGAGAAAATACCGTGTTATTGAACACAGAGGTCACATTTATTTATTTTATTTTATTTATGTCAGAGTGAACATTTACAGAAAGTTGTAACTTGATGTGACCAGAATGTAAATTAAACAAAAACTAAAGTCTACCTTAAACAACATTTTTAACCTGATATACGACACACGGACTTGCGGACAGACGGATAAAGCTCATAATGTTACTCTACTATCGGAGATGGGATATAAAAAGATAAAAAAAAAATTTATTAAGAAAAAGCTAAGTTAATGCCACAATCACTGACAATAGCCCTTGCATTTGAATAAAATACATACATTTTTGATAGCCTGAAATATTTACAAACGTTGAGCAAGAGGCTTAAAATTGTCTCGATTACCAAGACACATATACAAATTAATCTTACCTCCTATGCATTTGTTAACATTGGTTAAAAGCGACCGCGTGGAGACCGTGTTTTTTTAATATGGGGTTATAAGTAGGCGTGGTTTATTCTTATACACGGTTAGCAGTGGTGTTATGTTCCTTTATAAAAACAACACGGCGTTGAGGAAAAATCTTAAATGTTTAGCCCGGACAACAGATGAAGAAATTGATGATGAACGATTGAAATAAATGCTGAAAACACATTAAAAGCCAACAAGTTGTTATTGTTGGCATTTGTTTTTGTATAGACCAATGGAAGTAAGTTCTTTATATTGAAGACTTGATCACTTTGATTGGCCACTAGTCTAAATGCCACATGTTAAGATAGTCGGTAATGTCAATTCTTTACACAGTGTGACCTAATACGATATATATTGGGTCAGTAAATTCCATATATATCGTATTAGGTCACTAGCACACTGTGTATCTAATGATACATACCCTACTGCCGGTTTTCAAAAAGGCTGTTTAGAAAGGTGGCACAGATCAAAATCCATTGTATTACAATGCCCATGGAAAACGGAAACAAAAATTAGCTGTACTCTTTAGCCAACACAATTTATCGAAAAGCAATCGGTGACAAATAACCTATTTCATATTACCTCCCATAAACTTCCAAGTATATCATAGCTTAACAGCGAATACGTAGGAACCGTGTATATTTAATATTAGGCCGTTGGGCGTGCTTTTTTAGAAAAAAATATATGGTCAGTGGGCGTGGTTTATTCTAAATACACAGTTAGTATTATTTTTGTCTATATAAAATTGTTATTAATAGCATTTCTTTTTGTATACACCAGTGCAATTAGGGTCTTATTATTCAAAACTTGCTCACTGTAATAGTCCACCAGACACGAAAATAGACAGAAAACATGAATTGTATAAATGTAAATATTGACATCGTGTAGCTCAGACTCTATGATGCCCGTTGTTCATTTTCAGTAAGAGACATAATTAATTTGATACTTATTTTTTTACTTTAATGACATAATAAAGAAGAATGTTCGAAAGCATATAACATTGGTTAAGCTCAACCACATTTAATGCTAGTCCGGATGGTCTGTTGTACTGACCAATATTGTAGATTATTCCTGTTGTCATTAGTATATTTATTTTCAGGTTTTGGTGGCACCCACCTTGCAAAGAAAGCAAGAACCAACTACGTGTGTGAATGGAAAGGTAACTAATTCATCTTAATACTTACATTGCATTCAATTTGTAAAAAAACTTTCTTAACAGCTATTTCTGGCAGACCGATTTTCTTTATATACTCCAGTTAAGATTATTTTGTAGCAACTTGCTTTCAAACCAGCAAATATGGAATAACTGTCCTTTCAATAAGATCATGAAGATAGAATCTAAGATAAGTTTTTTTTATGAAAACAGAGGCGAACAATACAAAGGGGGTATTCAAAACACATAATAATTCTACGAGAAATGTACAATTCCATGGAGAAAAAAACCCCGAAAGACAACGAAAAAATGAAATAAACATAATATCAAATAAAAAGTTGAAGACTGCAGTTTAAATTGGCAAAAGGTGCCACATTCCATTTTGGTGACATGATGTAAGTACGTGTAATCTGAATTAATAATTTAATCAAGTTTTGGTTTTTTGTTTAATGACTTTTTGATTTATTTTTATATTTTGGTATGATTCTTGATGATGTTTGGCGTTTTAGGAGCCTTTATCTGCATTTTGCTGCAAAATTAGCTTACAAGTAATTTTGATCACGACTTGAACTGTCTTAAATGAATTCTTAGTTAATATTGTGGAACGATGGTGTAAAATAAGGAAGTTTGAAATCCATTCATGTGAAAAGTAAAGAAAAAAAAAAAAAACAACAAAAAAACAAAAAAAACTGTAGCATGGAAAACATACTTGATTTGTAAGTTACGACACAGCCAAATTGTATCGGTCGAATGATCTAGATGTATGAAGCATGTGCAATGGCGAAATATGTACATGTACGTAGTGAACTATTCAGCATTAGGAACTATTAAGTTTATAGCTAGTCTCGGAGAGAATATAAAGTGTAAAAAGAAGATGTTTGTTCGTCTATTCATGCATTAGCATCCACAAAAATCCCGAAATAGTCAAGATGGGAAACATGACCTAATCTGTAATTTTACCGACCAATTGGTATCTTTAGATCTATATAATAACAAAACAATGACTATGTAACTAACGTCACTGACATTAACTATTGTTTACGTAACACCTTTGTACATGTAACGTTGCCTTGTGCGCAACAAGTCAACGAGTCGTCCAATTTCAAAACTGAATGCGTTAACCGTTTTCCGACCACATTGGGTAAATCGAAAAGTAAAGCCAAGCTAAAGATTCGAGAATGGACTTTTTTTTTATCAAAATAAAAGACTTTGAATAGTGTGCCGTAATTTTGATAATGATCATAGTATTTAGATACTTCAATGATTTCTATTTATTACCTGGACTCTTATTATCATTTCACAATTTGTATTTTGATTTTTTTTATAATTTTAATTAATTTCCACTTCTCGGCGCCTCCAGTGTCAAGGGTTTGCCCTATTCATTAACTATGTAACGATTGTTTACGTAACACTTTTGTATACGCAACGTTGCCTTGTGCGGAACTAGTCATTACATCAATACGATTTATACGAACAATACTTCTCATCAATCAAAGCGAAGCAATAGCCACACTTTTCACGAGACGTGCAGTCATTTGTACGCAGACATAATGTATTGGTCAACCAATTTGTGCTTGTGATGGTGAGCTTGCGAAGTTACGATTTCAGTAGTTTTTCTTCATATCACTGTCAGGCTACGTGTTTTTATGCATTATGGGCACAATTATGTCAGAGAAGACCGTAAAATGCGAATATGAACCCAGCGTGAAATATCAATTGAGATGTATAAACATTCGTTGAGGCTGATAGTATTTTTGAGAAATGTGAAGTTAACAATGGGGACACTAAAACTCCTCATTTCAGTCGTAATTTCTAACTTGAAATACTACATCAGTGTGAAATGTAAGAAAAAGTTGCAAATAAGAAACACAAATTCTAATTTAAGTGTTTTAAGTTCCAACCGAAATGTGGGTTATTGCACGACAGGACATCATCAATGTATTTGAACTTTAAACTAAAGAATTTGGCAAAAAGTGCAATCGTTTTGTATTTGTGAAGGTATTTTTTAATATGTATATTTTGTTATTATCAGATTAGAAAATAGTTTCCTTTGCTTTTCAGGAGATTCCAATTAAATACGAACATTTATTTAAAAAATGGCAAAATGAAAAGCCGGTGGCACTTTTTTCTTTTATCGGAGGAATTAACACACATCTGCCAAATGAAAAGACTAAAATTCAACTTAAAAGGTGTTTGCGTGAAATAGTTAAAAAAGCAAGTAAGTCGTTTGTGTTTGAATTACTCAGACAATGTCTACTGCGGGATCATACAACTGGGGGGGGTGGGGGGTGGGTGGGGGAATGAAGAATATTTTGATAAACCAAAAAAATGGCAAAGTTGCATGGTGACGTTGCATATATAATACACTGGGACGTGATATAGCACTTAAAAGGGAAATGTGATAACAAAAACAAATGGATTTTCTGAGAATTTAGCTTCAAGTTAATATGAAAACGCAATGGCCCCTTCTCTCTTTTTTTTAAAATCAATTGAATGTAATTTTTATTATCTGTATTGATTTGCAAATCCTGGTTTTTAAGCAAATGAAGAGAAATTTTACTGTTCTTTTAACTGCTTCGAGTTCACGCCATGTAGAACTCTTAATCTTTTTTAGATTTTTACAGTGATCAAACTATAACTAGGCGTTACCAGAATACAGTTCATCTGAACATCGCTCGAGTCACAGACCGACTCAGCATAATTGATATCATAAGCAGGGACTACAAATCCCCCGAAACCAATCTCTGAGGCATCTGTATAAGCTTTAAGATCATATAAATCTGACTCATACAGATTCACGCCCTTCTCATTCAGATCACCGACTGAATTCAACCAAAATCTAAGCTCATCAAAAGCTGGAGCTGTCAAAGCAACCAGTGACTTCCAACTATCTCTAAGAACAAGGCAATTGTATAATTCCCTTGTCCTTAATCTTACCAGACTTCCAAAAACAACTTGCATTGCAATTATTGTCCGACAATACAACCAACTAGTTTTGCTCTGTATAAAGTTTTACCTTTACTTACTCCGTCAAGTGTTTTAACAATACTTAATAACAACCTGTCAACTTGCTCTTGAGTAATCTGAACTTTGCCTAGATACATATCCCACACTAAACATGCTAAACCAATCAAAATAATGTTTTGTTGTGGATACCAAATACAATTATCGTCAGCTATAAGAAAACCAAATTTAGACAAACTAGCTTTTTTTAGAAGAATCTAAATCACAAGCTCCACCCAAAGCGTCATCAAGATACATAATTATCTTTAATCCAAGGTTTCTGCAGTACTTAACGACCTCTTTCAAAACTTTTGTAAAAATGTGTCCTGAACTTGCAATACCAAAAGGGAGAACATCGAATACAAAATAGTAAGTTTCTCCGTCAATAACCCAAACTGAAACCTAAATATTCATTGTGCTCCTTACTTATTTCAATATGATGGTTTGCACTTTTCGAATCATATCTAAAAAGAAAATCTCCCTTTTCAAATATAAATTTTAATTGGTGTATGCAACTGTTAATGTGTCTGCAATCTAACACTAATTTTGGTCTTTTGTGATCTATTAAAAAGCTACCGTAAGCGGAATAATAACGTATGGTTTATTAGCAACCTGTGAAATACAACATTTTTTCTAATAGTTTAGAAATCTCGCTTTAAACAAAATTCCTATTGTCTCACGAAGATTTGTTATTGCCCAATTGGAAGTTTTTTAAATGGTATACCGTTTCTGTTACCTGTAAAATATAATCAGTCGCCCCAACTGGTTCCACTTGTGTATCGCTGTTCTCAGTTTACCTACAGGACTGATCAATTTACTGGGCGTATTTAAATGTCTAGACATTTGATCGTCACATTCCTCACGGTTGAGTAAACAAATACTATCATTGCCGTTGCTTAGTAAGTGAGCTTCGTTTAACATGTTTAAGTGAGTAGTTTTCAATGTTAAACTTTCATCAATGAAATCACCTAAAAAATGCTATTTATATTGGTATCATTAGTGAACAATTAATTATGTTTTATTCTGAGCATTTAAACTACCAATGGCCTGGTTCATAACAGTTATCACACACTCATGGCCTTCAAGCTGAATTAACACCACCACTGTTGTTACCATTATCTGCTGAAGTTGAAGGCATAAAATATAAAGTCGGACGTTTCTTTCTGGATTTTTTTGCCTTCACCTTTCTTTCCGCACGCAATGTTGCCCTCATAATCTTCTTGCCGCCTCCGAAATCATCGGCCAGTGGGTTTGAAGTGTATTCATGGACTACTCTCCAACCATGTTCAGACGAATCTGCCATTTTCACTAGTTTTTGCGACAAGTTAAAGTTCTATACCTTCATTAATTATCTGCTTAGCTTAAATCTAAAGGTTCTAAACAGGATTCTGCTTCCTTGAGTGTCACATTCAACTTCTTGTTGAACTTGAATTGGTCTTCACAGCTCTTCTTTTGAAATTTGTAGTTATCCGCCGTTACAATATCACTTTGGAGTTTACTCATCTGTGCCTCTGAACGTTCGTTTTGTTAGTTGCCGAATGCTTACAATCTTGATGCAAAAATCCCATCTAGTTTACTTAAATAATCATTTTGAGACTTCTGATTTTCTTCTCCATCTATCCGCTTAATGTTAGTGTCAAAGTCCATGGGATCCATTTTGACAAACTGGCTCTCAGAAAATTTGATGTACACAGTACGAATGCAAGGCTGGAAGTAATACTCATTTAACTACCCATTTACCACTATAATTTTGGTGCCAAAAATTCATACGCCTCGAAAATACTTTACTGAAAAGACAATAAATTCCAGTTTTACTGCGTGCCGTGGGAATTGTCTATTCCTGATTTTTCGATTTTCGATTTCAAATTTCTCATTTTTCACGGAAAACTACTACAAGCTCTATAGTTTGGAAACCAGTGTTTATCTCCCGACACCGAAAGTTATTATTTAATCCTCATGTTTTAAATTCAAATGAGTTCCCTGCATTGTTTTCTGAATAATTGTTATTATTATTATTTCATTAGGTCTTTTCATAAAAAGACTTTTGATTGTGTTATGATTCATTTTTTTCTTCTTACGTCTGAGATGTTTTTTTTTGTTTCGTCACGTCTTGTAGTCAATTAGCAGGAATTAAAGGTCACGGTCTTGTTCTAAATTTTGAAAGAGTGCTTGTTATCGTTATTTCTTAGCATTCAACAATTAAAGGCTTTAAAAAAAATAATTGATAATGACGTGCTGCAACTTAGTATAAGTGTTTTTGTGACCTTTCTTTTGCTTTAAGATGAAAGACCTTTGAACTTGAAATTATGGTCAAGGTCAAAGATCAATTTGCTATTCTAGATTTTGACTTTTACTATAAATTCATACTAGTTCATGATTAAACTGCTATCTCTTTTGCTTTAGTTTGAAAGTCATATGACCTTGAAAATTTTAACCGAAAAAGCCATTAATCTAATGTCAAAGTACCTAGAAACATAAGTTCTTAAGATCACGGAGAATTAATAGAAAAAAGGACATTGGGTATCCATCCATGACACAAAATCAGTATATGCACAACATTAAACACAAAAAGCAAAGAAACAGCGCTTTTATTGCGGTTTGTCATCTCAAAGTCACAGTGAGGCTTTATAGCCTATCATATGATTGATTGATTGTTGGTTGCTTAACGTCCAATGGCAAAGCCAATCATATGAGCAAGAAGTAACAATTTGTTTTTCGAATCAGTGTAATGTAAGCTATCATATGACAATGAAAATGGAATTTTGAAGACCGGAAGTATAGATTATCTCCCTTATATTTGGATTACATATGGGAACTAATATATTTTGAAATCAGTAAAAAGTAATCTATCATGATATGTTGACACCGGAAGTGAATTTTGGGAAATAATTCACCATCTCCCTAGTGTCAAAGAAAATAACTAGATACTGTACATTTTGGAATCAGTGAAAGACAAATTATCTTCTAATTAATTTTTTTCTAAAAGAAGGTTGCTGTATAAAGTGTATTCAAACCTTTATTATCAATAATGGTTCTTGAATATTTTTTTCAAATTAATATAAGGGAGGTGTTACCTGAGAAAGAGGACGAACTCTGTATAAATATTCATTAAAATATCGTTTTTTCCAGCAAAACAAAACTACAATAAAATGTACAAAGGCCATCATTTCTATTATGACATTAAAAACAATCCGTAACTTTTGAGATTCCCTACAGCATTGGCGCCAACAAATGATGAACAAAAAATAACCTCTTACCAAATTCCAAAAATACGAGTTTCCAGAATATTTTAAATTTCTGTTAAAAAAGTATCGACAGCACGGAAAAATTTCGATGTTGGTCCTGTTGTTCGGGATTTTAGTTGTGAAGTAATTTTCAATGTAAACAAAGAAACAATATAGTCTGGGATTTTTTTTTCATATTAAAGAACTATTTAGATAAAATATAACAACCAAAGCATTAAATCGACAAATATACTAATCTTTTTGTATCAGATTCCTTATCAAATACAAAAATCTGCTTGATCAGGTGAGTTTTTGCATAGTATTCATTTTGTTTGCTATTAAACAGTATGTTGAAAAGCACAAGACTACTTTTAAAATGATGCGGAATTTATTTTCATTCTTTAGCTGCCACCATTCTTTGGTAATAAGATACACCAAATTTGCGGGAAATCCTACTTTTCCCTTTCCTTCTATTTAGCACACCGTCCCGAGACATACGATACAGGAGGAGAAAACGATACATGAAAAAATTCCCGCGCAAATGTAGAAGTCCGAAGAAAACTTCGTCCTCATATGTAACGTCCCGGGACCCAATTATTTCACCCATTACTTCAATGCAATTATATTCCCTATATTAGACTGCAAAATTTCAGTTACTTTCTCATACTAGAAGCCCCCTTTATGATTTCTTAGAGGGTCATGACCGGTATTTAAGAGAGCAATACAGTTTTGAGTATAATTATTATATATATTATAATATAAATTGTCATCTATCTGCAGCAATAACATTATATAATAGTATCTCTGAAGATGGGAGACAACTCCTTTATATATGAGTTGAAATAAAAATAATACTCAGAGAGAATAAGAAAATGTAATGTACTTGCTTTCTACGGACACCAGAAGTTATTATTTTCTTCCTTATGTCTTTTATTATTAGTTGATATGAGAAAGATGGATAGACCATATTAAAGTGTTTTCTGAACAACTGTTATTGTTGTTTTTGTTGTTGCTGTTGTTGTTGTTCGGACATTTTATAGACCAGAAGTGGCTTATTATCACCATTATTTAAAAAAATTATTGAAAGGATATGGAAACGATATATTTTTGGAATCAGTATTTAATAATCATTAATATGACAACGGAAGTGATTGAATATATACACAAAGTTCTTTCTTATTCCCCATTTCTTATAAAACTAGTACATTTTTATTAAATTGGTTGTAAAATAAATTATATTCTAACAATATATATGAGTTTTAAAATAAACGTTAACTTTAAACCTTCATTTTCCTATCAACTAAATTCAAGTGTGGTGAACTTTTTATTATTACTATTGATATAACACTATTAAAGTAATCAATTCTTCCATTTAAGATTTTTGGATTATAACTCAAGGAAGAAATACAGGTGTTGGGAAGATTGTCGAAGAAATGAATATTGGAGAAAAGAAATACCATGTTTGTCACAATGGTTCATGTACAATGTACGAGGTAAGAGAAAACGCGATTTAATTGACCCTTTAGTCAAATTTTACAAAATAGAAGATTTTTCAAACCAGTGTAGCTAACACTAATGAGTAATTTGATATCAGATTTTTCGAATGGCCTTAATCGTGATTTTTGTTTTGCAATCGATACAAATGAACTTCGTATGCTTTTTTGGGTAATTTTTCTTGTCGTTCGTTGCTTTTTTATTTCAATTCTTTTTACACATCAGTTTCTATTCGAACCCGGATATTGCATGGGGTTTGTTTTCCTCAGTTTAACCTTTCTATGTATTGTGTTACAGACTGTGTTTGCCTTTATGTCTCTTTTGTTTTGTCATTTCTTTTTTTTCGTCTTATCTTTTATTTGCTTTTGTCGCTTTGGGCTACCGCGTCAGAGTTATATTCAATTCGAACATTGTTGTTTCCATTGAATATCTAACCAATTCACGATAGGTTAAATTTGCTTTTTGTAATTCTCGCCTTGAAAGTTCAGGGATGAAAGGTATGTTTATCTTTTTTGATTTTAAGGATAACTTTTTGGGTAAAACCGAATATCACAAAGTCAACTTCTGTTATCAATACCGACAAGAATTCACTATTGAAAAAAGATCCTTATTTTAAAATGTAAAATTAAGTTTTGATTTTATTTCGGACTAAAATAAAAAAATATTATATAAAACACATGACATATGAGTAATTGTAACGGAAGATTTTTCAAACTTGATATTGATTACTTCACATTAGATAAATTAGTCAAACTAATGGAGAGTAACCAGTTGAATTGGTAAATTAACCTCACATCTTAAATAGAGATGGATCACAGCTTTGTATTTTGTTATTCATGGATAGTTGTCTCATCGAAGGTCATACCACAATGTCATCTCTATATTATTATATCAAAACTTTTAACATTTCAGATGAATTTGTATAGCAACAAAAATTTCAAATTATAGAGACAATAAATACATTCAATATTGTATGATCCTTTAATAAATGCTGTTATTACATTGGTAGCTTTGAATTACATTGATTTCCCAGTCAAATAAAAACCGATAATTTCACATGTGAAATAAACGTGGTTATTTCACTCTCTGACGTCATACAATAATAGGCGTTGTCAAGACGTCGATAACGTCGGATCAAAACAAATTGTGAATGCGTAGAAAAAAGATATAGTTCCTTACATTTTATACATTAATTTCATTAAAAAAAGCAATTTGCCAATGTAATAAAAAGAATAACTAATCAAAGAATTCAAATAGAGAAAAATATTCAACTCGTGACCGAACAACACTGATAATTAACTCATGCGCTACGCGCATTCGTGAATTAATGTGTTGTTCGGTCACTCGTTGAATATTTTTCTCTATTTGAATTCTTCGATTAGTTATTCTATAATTAATAATAAAATAAATAATAAGGCAACCTCAGGAGCAAAATACTTTAAAAAAAAATATATTATTGTTTTAAGTGCATAAATAATAGAAATTAATAGGTAACAGTAAATAAATGAAAACATGACATCAAGCACAATTGATTTTCTCAACACCAATACGAACTCTCTTTGATGCACTTGTAGTTGTAATATTACCTACAAGTTTAAACCCGATTATGAAGCATAATGAAATTTACAATTCTACTGTTATAATGTATTCTAACAATGTCTAAAGCACCAATGTAATACATTTTTCTTTACATTACTCGTTAATTAATCTTATTTCAGTGTTTTAGTACTAGTATTGCAAACTTTCGAATGAAAATATATAATACCTGTAGTTCTAATTAAAAACAAAATTAGCTTGCTATAAATGTACATGTTACGACACTGTTTTCCTAGTCTTTCTCTGAAATATAACAGGTAACATCATAAAGAAGACACATGTCATAGATAGCAACAATACCTATTATGCTCATTCAGCAAATAAATCAGCAAATTTAACTTGCTAAATGAATTTTGACAACCATTTTAATATTCATTTTTTTAGAACATAAGAGCTAAAATTAGATAAAATACACAGGTAGGATAGTTAGTATTTCCTTTAACGATCAATCAATTTCAAGAAAATATGGAAGTTTCATATTACTATATGAGTCACGATAATAACTTTCTATTTCCTTAGATCATTAGAGGTAAAATTATATAGAACGCACCTGTCATAGGGAGCAAAATCATTCTATATACTAGAAAACAGATATAAGAACACTTTCCAATACCTTTATACTATACATTTACCCTATTTAGATCAGAATTATATTTTTGTAATCATACTACCGGAAGTCATCCCGTTGAACTGACTACACAATATTATAATATGAACATCTGTTATTTTCATGTATTTTTTCTCGAATATGCTTGTTTCATAAAATAAACCCAATTGACAACAAACGAAACAATTTTTATGTTCCATATTGTTTGTTATTACTTTTTTTCGCGATAGCGTTCCGCTGCTTCGTTCTTACGGCGATTATATTTTACAAGTAGGCTTTTGTCAGTTATGACTTGTTAAATGTAAATTGACGTTTATCCTTTTTTATACTGCACTCGTTCTATTTGAGCAGTCAAAATGCGTTGACTGTATATTTCTATGTCATATACAGTCACTGTCCTGATATCACTTTTCCTCATGAATATTCAAATAGTAGTTGCCGGAACTACTTTTTTTTAGTTATTCATGATGACCTCTTCAACCTTTCTTTGTTTCCAATGTAAACAAATGTGTTTTGTTCCAAATCGCGATAAACGTGATCTGTTTATTAAAATTAAATGTACTAAATCTTGTCTTGAAATTTATCTTGTATTTAATTAGTTCATAGATGTTTCTTAGATCCTATCTTAAGTCTATATTTAAAACAAAAATAATAAAATTCGTCTGCTTGTCTACCGTCTGCCAGCTCATGCTTAAGCTAAGAGCAAAGCAAACATGTCTGAAGATATTCCATATTTTGCATTGGACTGGTCTCCCTTAGAAGGTCTGGAGGATGTCCACATGGATGAAGATTTGCAGGACACATTACTACAAATTGATGCCTTAAATATTCCGCTTAATCCCCCAGAATCAAACATACATGTAATAACAACAGTGGCTGAAATACACCCTCCACCTCAAGATTTTCCAAAAGAACCACAACAATCCCTTGAGACCACCTCTGAAAATCTACCTATTGATAATGCTATTGATATTTCCAATGATTTGGTTCCTACTAATCTACAAGATGAAGCTGCTGGGGTATCAAAACAGTTTGATCCAAACTCAATTGAAATGGATGATGAGGACATTCAACTGTTCATTCTATCAAATGAAAACAAAAACACCTGCAAAAAAACCATGTATGACATTAAGCTAGTGCAGAAATTTTTCAAGATGAAAAAGGAGCACAGGGATATTCAAAACATCCCTCAGAATGAACTTGACAGTTTATTGGCCAATTTTTTAATTATTGTACGCAAACAGGATGGGACAGAATATGAGCCTTCGTCCTTAAAAGGAATTATGTCATCAGTAGATAGAAAGCTTAGGCGCCACAAATATGGGCATTCAATTAGTGGTGAAAACAATGATTTCCAATTAACAAAGGATACTTTAAAAACTAAGCTAAAGGTTTTGAAAAAACAAGGCAAAGGCAACAAGCCAAACCGTGCACAACCTTTGACGGATCTAGAGATAAACTCCCTATATGAAAAAAACTTATTGGGTGATTCTACACCAGAGGCAATGATAAATACCCTGTGGCTAAACAACTCTGTCCACTTTGGTTTAAGAGGTGTAACAGAACATTATGAACTTAGGTAGGTACATGTTTTTGACACAAACATGTTGTTATTTACATTGTATAATCCATGGCCAATAACACTAGTACAGAATATCATGTGAAAAAACACTGATGCATATAAATTATCACTCTAATTATCAAATCAAAAATAGAAAATGCATTTATTTACCATAGATATATTTGAATTATACATGTAAATGTACATAGTAGATGTCCAAAATGTATTTATATCAGAATATCCAATCATAAAACTCCACACATAACTATGATTAGTAAATTAATACCAAGCAAGATCTTCATGCATGTGTATGTGACACCTTTCTGCTACTTTGTATAATTCCATGCTTTTTTCTGTTTTACACAAATACATGTATCTGAATCATGTCGTCCTATAAAAATCTACATTACTAGTACATTTTTGAACAAGTACATGTAAACTCTACGTAGTGAATATATATCCTGCGAAACTTTCACATATGTTTCTGCTTACTTTGTATAATTCCATGCTTTTTCTGTTTTACACAAATGCATGTATCTGAATCATGTTGTCGCATAAAAATCTACATTACTAGTACATTTTGGAACAAGTACATGTAAACTCTACGTAGTAAATATATATCCTGCGAAACTTTCACATATGTTGAACCAAATCAACTTCACATTTTATTTACGGTACATCATTATCACAGATAGTTCCATTATAAATCGTGCAATTCCTAAACGATAAACTATGTTGATAAAAACTTAATCCGATCAAAACACCATAATTCCATTGTTGAAGATCTCTCAAGTTTATGCTGTCTGATAGTTACATCCCTAATTTTCTAGCTCTGCTTTTATCCACTCTACAAAACAAAATATTCGTGTGAAATTTCAAAAGTGACAGTCACATTCTATCAAAAAGCATTTATTGTGAAACTATTGATCAATTTATTATAAATAAGGATTTATACGGTTATTAAATTTCATACGTTTGCACATATAATGCATATTAATAGTGGAAATATATAGAAATTGCGGACTACAGTATTTATAAATTTATAAGTACATTGTGTATATGTTCCTCTTTCAGATGGGGAGATATAACCTTAAATACAGATTCAGATGGTACGAGGTACCTTGAACTAAATGAGCGACAAACAAAAACACGCACTGGGGAAAATGTCAATGACATTAGGGATGTTAGCCCAAAGATGTATGAGTGTGAAGGAGAGAGGGACCCTGTGGCACTAT